AAAAAGGAGATAAAAGGCATGGATGATTAGATAGTTGTTGAAACAATAGTGCTATCAATTTGAATGAAAATCTTGAAAACAAAAATAAAAGATAGAAGTATCGTATTCTGGAGGGTTCACTTTTAGTGTGTGTGTGTATGTATATATATATATATATATATATATATATATATATATATGTGTGTGTATGTGTGTGTGTGTGTGTGTGTGTGTGTGTGTGTGTGTGTGTGTGTGTGTGTGCATGTGTGTATATATATATGGGCATTGTAGGGTGGGGTGAGATTGAATTGGGTTGGTTCATTCCTATTTTAATTAGATTATTATTTATTAGACTGAAAATAAAAAAATACTACCGGAAAATTGGATTTTTCGGTTATTATATGTGAATTAGTAAAAGTTTTATGGTTTTTGTGTGAGAAAACATAGTTGTATAACTTTGGTGGAAAAAAATTCATAGTTATTGACCATTTATGAAATTTATCCTAGCATATACTCGATAAATTAGTTAAATTGTGTGTAAACTGGTCTAAATATCACCGTTATCAAAACAAATTAATTGTTTTATTTTTACATTATATATTAGTTTAGGTTTTTTTTATAGAAAAAGAACATCATTAGGAAGTTAGTTTAATAAAAAGAACATCAAAATATTATTTAAACTTTTAAAAATATAGATAAATATTAATTAAAATCTATGAAATGATATTAGAAATAAAATGCTGTCCTATAATTTTAGTCTTAAAATCAAGACTGTTGTAAAGACTATGAGAATTAGAAGAAATATAATATAATAAAATAAAAAGATAAAAAAACATTGCCCTTTTTAGCATGAGAGTTTATTGATGCAATCATACCCTCCAGAAAGCTAATGTTGTTGTTCTACCCCAAAATAAAAGTACTTTTTTCTTCCTATGTCCTTTTCTTTATTATTATCGTGTTCTTACATTCACCTTTTTTCCCCCAATTTAAAAAGGGTTAGAATAAGTAAGTACATTGGACCACAATGTGATGATCCAAAAGATCATCACTTGTTTCAAATTAAATTCTATGTTTTCGAGGCCTTGACAACCTCATTTAGAGTCATCTCGATTTGCGTGCGCAGTCCGGGCGCGTAGCCGGAAAGCTTAAATATGAAAATCTGTGAAAAAATGGTAAAATTTGGCTATAAAATGAGTTAATTTGACTTCGGTCAACGTTTTGGGTAAACGGACCCGGACCCGTGATTTGACGGTCCCGGAGGGTCCGTAGGAAAATATGGGACTTGGGCGTATGCCCGGAATCGAATACCGAGGTCCCGAGCCCGAGAAATGAATTTTTAAAGGAAATTGTTTTCTGAAATTGTTTAAGGAAATTTGAAATGAAATTTGATTAGAACATGTTAGTATCGGGCCCGTATTTTGGTTCCGGCGCCCGGTACAGGTCTTATATATGATTTAAGATGTTTCTGTGAAATATGGTAAAAAACGGACATCGTTTGACGTGATTCGGACCTAAATTGCTAAAGTTGATGTTTTATGAAGTTTGAGAAAAATCCTTTGATTTTGAGGTTTAATTCGTTGTTATTGAGGTTATTTTGGCGATTTTATCGCACGGATAAGTTCGTATGATGTTGTTGAGTTAGTACGTATGTTTGGTTAGGAGCTCTGAGGGCTCGGGTGTGTTTCGGATGTGATTCGGGAAGTTTTGAACTTAAGGAAATGTTGCAGATTTTGTTGTTCAGTGCACAGGGAAATTGTTCTTCGCGTTAGCGTGGTCCCACTCGCGAACGCGTAAGGCAAAATTCCCAAGTGCCAGTTTTCTTCTTTGCGAACGCGAAGGTTGAGACGCGAACGCGAAGCAGAGGGGGGAGACCCTTCGCGAACGCGTCCCTCCACTCGCGAACGCGTAGGGTTCTGGGGAGGGGACAACAAATTTGTTCATCACGAACGCGATCCTTGGCACGCGAACGCGAGGGTTTGAGGAGATTCTTCTCCGCGAACGCGAGCCCGCTTACGCGAACGCGAAGGTCTGTGGGCCTGACTCATCGCGAACGCGATGAGTCTGTCGCGAACGCGAAGAAGGTTTTTGCCCAGTTATTTGAAAAGACCCAAAACAGTAGCATTTCGGGATTCATTCAAAATTTCATAACTTCTTCATCTTAACTCCAAATTGGGCGATTTTTGAAAGAGGATTTCACCACAAGTTCATAGGTATGTAATCTTAGACTCATTTTCTTCAATTTCCATTAACACCCATTAGATTTCTAGGCTTAAATCATGAGATTAAGGGTAGAAAATTAGGGACTTGGGTAGAGTTAGGGATTTTTGATTAATTGTGATTTAGACCTCGTTTTGTGGTCGAATTCTGAAAATAATTATATATTTGGGCTCGTGGGTGAATGGGTTATTTGATTTTGGTCCGAACCTCGTATTTTGACCAAGCGGGCCCGGGGTCGATTTTTGGGCTTTTGGGAAGAATGATTAGAAAGCTATAATTTGGCATTGGAATTGAATTGTTTAGCGTTTATTGATGTTATGAAGTCGAGTATGTAACATAATTGAA